ATCTATGGATGAACAAGCCTCGCAGCACACTTTCAAAAAAGCTTATTTTATCTGTTTGATTTGTATTTGTGTATTTTAATGTTCGTTGAAATCTTCTGTTGTATTTCATTCTAGAAAGAAGGAAGGAAGGCCAACTATTTTTTCCCTTCTCAGGCGTTGTTATACCCATGAACCTGTTTTTTTCTTCTCGTTTTTTTTATTGTCCCTGACCTCCTCAGGAAGGCTGTGAAGGTCGAGGGCACACAAGAAAGGAATTGTTGGGACCAAGGACAGCCAAGAGAAGTTCGATGTTAGCAATCAAAAAAAAATCACACCACAGACAATTGTATCTGCAATTTTCAAAGCTCATCACCAATCTCAATGTTAAGTTCAGGACTTGGGCATGTTATTTAAAGAGTTGCTCGGCTGTAGTTTGATATTGTACCCCTATGAGACCAGCACCAGGGTAAGAAGAAAGATTTCTCTTTTGTTCTACTTACACTGAGTCAGACAAACATGGATGCCAGTTTCTGGATCTTCATTTGATTTATCTCTTTGCGTGGCTGAGTTTAAGGACATCAAGTTGACGCTTTCTCTTTAAACTAAGACATCACACGCTTGATGGCAGATTAGATGAACTTCATCGTATTCCCCATTTATGACCAAAGAAATTAGAATGATTTGAACCCCAGAACAAATTTCTGTATGAATCAGAACCAGACTGACTCACCAAGGCTTACATGCTGGAAATCCACGTTGACTCCCATATTCTATGAAGTAAAAGAAAAGTGAATGATCATACATGTATTCAGTTGGATTCTGTGTTTAACCACAATTTCTATAACTCAGTTGTTAAAATATCCAATCAGAAGCCACGTATTAGTACCCCTGACCAAACAATCACAAACATCCACTTTTAATTAGCTTTAGCCGTATCCTGACTTTTGAAGGTCCACATTCATCAAAAGTAACTTAATCTGCTTCTTTAAGGAGGTGGTGATACACGCAGACATGTTTGTTTCTCTTTGGAAGTAGAAAAATAATTCAATCCAAACTATCCCTTCAGCTCACACAGCAGTCTATGTTTTAGCACAGCTCATTCACAAGGATAGTTTTTAGCTCAACTTAATCTTGTATTTTAACTTGAATCTATATACTAACATTTTAACCATTCTTCTCTCCAGTTAGAAAAATCAAATGGATAGCATGTCACTGGTTGTGTTGCCCTGTTGGCTGCCAAATGATACAGTTCCTCTGTTCTGTGAGTTTAGCTCTGTCTTACTTTAACGAGCTGCCCCCCCTGTAGTTTCTAACCTTTTCATAATGCATTCCTCTGAGAAACTACCTGCTGTGAATTTTTACCCTGACAGAATCTGTTGAAGGTACAGGATTTAATGCGTTTCAACATTTTTCATTTTAACGTACATATCAATCAGCATTAACTCTCGCCAAACCAGTGCATGTGAAATCTAGTTGTAGTCGCAATGACAGCCTCCACGGTCACTTCTGTGCAACTGTGTGACTACAAACCACCACCTTTTTTTTTTTTTTTGTTTGTATCTTCAAAACGAAATGGTTATGTAGCCTCATGGGTGTTCACAGGACCCTGAACAGTGCCAGTCATCACTTTTATAAAATTCTCTTTATGAAAAACAAACAAAAAAAAAAGTCATTGTTAAGATCTTCTTTTATATCTCAACACTGTTTAAAAAAAAAACAACAAAAACACACAAGCAATTTATTCCAATGTCACATTTTTTCTTTATCAAATATGTTGCTCTATGAGGACGTTTCTCAACAGATCGACTCTGTTTTCTATCTTTGTCTTGTCATACAGATATCTCGCTGTGTATCTGAACTGAATGACTGAGTTTTGTGCGTTTTTGTGAGTGTGCGTTTGTCGGTATGTGCAGGAGTGATTGAAATGACGGGTTGTATTGCCAACTGAGTAAACCCAGTGTTACGGGTAAGGAAAGGAAGAGTCCCACTTTAAAAAAAAGAAAGAGAAAATCACTGCCTGTAGTTGTACTAAGGACTAGAAGGACTGAAACAGTTCCTTTATTCTCTCACCTGATCTAGTGTCTCTCCTTTCCCCTCTTGTATAGAACCACTGTTCCTTGTTTAAGGAACCTTTGCCAATATAATCTCCCGAAACATTTTTATGTATCTAACACTGTAATAACATTGAAACAAGAACAAAAACAGCATTGCTTTAACATCTGAACTTTGGTGAGTATTTGTTTCCACCAGTTACTAACTCCCCTCAGGGTTTATGAAACTCAGCAGCTTTTTGTTGTTGTTGCCAAAACCAATCACCAAACGGTTCCGTCTCTCATCTCTAACTTGATAATCGTATTTATAATCATTTTCGGTTAAACCTTCCCAGAACTATCTGTTAAGCTGGTGGGGTCATGACATTGACAGTAATGGTGAAATCCTTCACCAGGAAACCCACAAAGGAATGAATTATGCAATAATGATGTTTCAGCATGCAATAATGAACAACCCCCCCTCAATAAGCCCATCAAATGATCGAAAAAACAACGCACATCTTCAGCAAAATGCCTCTTCAGATAAACGCATATTATAAAGGGAGAACAGTGTATTTTGTACAAATATTTTAAAAGTATTCAAATAAGCCTGTTATATGTGTACATACAAATGTTGAATGAATGGTGAAAACGTGATGTGTTTTTTTTTCCTGGATAACTAAATGAAACCGATATTAATGCAAATGCTGGTGTCCATGTCATATGTTGAACAGTTCATTCTGCCTTCACCCTCCACTGCACACAATAACATCGTACGGTTAATTTGGTGTCAATGGGACTTTTTGTGAAAATAGATCTACCAGAAAATATGCTTTATTAAAATATGTATTTTCTTTGCTCTAGTGGTACAGATAGATATATAGAGATATAAAACAAACAGGCAAACAAATGTTTATGTTTGTACAAGCCTCAGAAAATGTATTGATCCCAAATTAATTTGCACTCCCTGGCTATACCCTACTGAGGAAGAAAGGGATCATGGCAATTACGGTAGATTTCAGACAAATGCCTTTACATCATGCATCCCCTAGTTTTTTTTTTTTCATTTGTCTTTTATCATAAAAGGGATGAATCTGTTGTTTCTCCTTAAAAACTTAGAATGAAAATCATTGAATTCATGCAATCTACATTTCTTAACCTAATGGACACAAGGACACTTCACATCAGAACACAAAGACCAGTCCAAAAGTCCAAAGTCCATCAGCTGAGTAGAACAGGTGGGTTTTGGGAACATGTCCAAGGATGTAGCATTGCGGATATCTCCCAGGAGAGAGTTCCAAAGGGTGGGGGCTGCCACACTGAAGGCTCTGCGCCCGAAAGCCGCACATTGGCGTGGTGCATGGAGAGCAGACCAGTGTTGGACGGAGGAGTGGGGGGCGGGGCAAGGCCGTGGAGATGGTAAGGAGGATGACTGACTGTATGCTTGGTAGTTTACAGTTATATTAATAATAATATAATATTAAAAAAACAAATATTTCCAACTAAGTCATCTGTTTTTACAAAAGACCTTCCAAGAGTAGGCTTCTGATATTAAGTAGGCTATAACAGCGCATTGACAATAATTGATATGACTAGGGATGCGCGATACACTTTTTTTCAGTTCTGATCTGATCACGATAAATATGTATCGATACCAATACTGATTCCGATCATTTTTCTTAACATATTAATATTGTTATTGTTGGTATTATGTTAAGTGTATGGATACACAGAGCTGTAGTAAACATTTCTTATTCAAGCGCAAAGAATTGTAACCAGCTACAGTTCTTGCACTTCAGTTGAAAATAGGGAGCTCTTCCATCGTATCATCTTGTCTGAACGTCTTGATGAAGACGATTCGTGGGCACTTGCAGTTCAGTCTGAATGTCTTTAAAGCGAGACGGTGCAAGCTGAAAAAAATGCCCAACGATCTCTGTTAATCTGTGATGTGGATAGGTGCCGTCAGTCCAATATATATAGTCCATTTAAATCACGTCAATATCGACCCGATACAGATATTGGATCGAATCTGTCCAATCCCTATGACCACCCCCAAATGCAGGCCATCCCTATTTTGTCCTTCATTTTCTTTTCTAAAACATAATCTTAAAAAATGAAGCAAACTGATTGGCTATACATTTACTTTAAGCCTTATTGGTCTGTTGTCTGTTTTCTGACCGCTGTGCAGGAAGTATTGCAGCAGAGGTCATGCTGTCCTACTGAATATCAGCACAACTTTAACAACCTTCAGCAGAAGTGATGTTAAGACAACTCTCCCTCTCTAGAAATAAAAGTATTAACTTTGAAGGTCAGTTTATTATTGAAAATACTGGCTGAACGTCATAGCCCACCTGTCAGTTTGAAACATTGGCATTTCTTGTTCATCACTTTGATTTATTTTATGTGTGTGTGTGAGTGCATGTGTGTCTGTGTGTGTCTGACACTCCCAGACATCCTTTTATGGAGTTAGATCAGTCTCAGTATTCGCAAATGCACACAGAAGGATTCACAAATATATTTCATGTGCAGGGGAGTCTCAAAAATCCCACACACAAATGCAGTGAGGTTCACAAAAAGACACACAGTTTGTAAATGCAGACTGAACAGTTTATATATTTGTGGATTTCTATTACATATATACAAAACTATAAATATTTGTGTGTGAACCAGAAATACATTTGTGAATCTTGGTTTTTTTCATTTGTGGATTTGTTTTACATTTATATAAAATGAAATATATGTGTGTGTTTGCATTGAAATACATTTGTGAATCCTTCTGTGTGCATTTGTGAATATTTGAGACTGATCTAACTCCATATCCTTTGTGCTCCGGGCCTTCTTGTCGTGTATTGTATTCAGAAAAACCCATTTTCTGCATCAGTTCAGCCAGAGCATCAACAAGTTGGCGTGTAAGTAAACAATAGAAGTGTCGCTCAGCGTGTAAGCAGCGCTCCCTAGCTGCCTCCCCCTCATCCCCCCTCTGGATCTGCTCTCCTGGCGGCCCCCGCCACTCCTCCCCTCCCGACGAAAACACTTTCGGGAAGAATAAAGTTTTTCTCCCCCTCTAACGGACTCGTACGCAGCCAGCCAGGCGTTACTCAGAGCCAGAACCTTGGCCTAGCAGGAAGAAACAGCTCGACTATGTGGAGAAAGAAGCGGGCACTTGGGGAATCCTTGGCTTGTCTCGTGTTTCTTGTGACGCTCGTCGATGCTTATCGATGTAAGTATGCAAGTGTGGTTTTACACTTTGAACCCTACGTAGTGAAGTAATTCACGGAATGGCCTGTTACAAACTATTTGTTGTCAGTAGGCTACCCCAGATTTAGAGCAGCTCTCAACGTGAATGTGAACAGCCAGGACTTTAAAAAACAGCGTTGACGTGACAGCAGCAGCGCACAGGGAGCCGATAGTGAGAGGGGTCACGACTCCTTTGTACACCGTGGTTCATACGAGCTGCTTGTTGCGACCAGAAGGGGTCATTTCTGGGAAATAACGATTTCGCAATGACCTTTTTTTTCAGGCCAACTCATAGTAATTGTCCACTTTGCCCATGCATGCAGCAGCTTCATCAGCCACTGGCATTCCTGCTGGGATCTGTCATGTGTTATTATATTGTAGCTGCCTATGCCTGCGTATCCTAACCACATGTGTGAGAGAAACACTAAGATAGTAAACTGCATATTAACAAGAGGCCTCTGGTTGTTGCAGTTGCAAAGCAAACCTCACTCACAATGGAAGTGTACATAATGCATTTGGACGAGTGTGTGATTTATGCATATGTCTGCATCTGTGTCTGTTCTAGTCCTGAGCCAGACCACAGCCTCCCAGTTCCTGAGCCGGCACAAGAGAGCAAACTCGCTGTTTGAGGAGAGCAAGAAGGGCAACCTGGAGAGGGAGTGCATCGAGGAGCTGTGCAACAAGGAGGAGGCCAGGGAGATCTTTGAGAACCAGCCCGAGACGGTAAGAATAGCTGATCTCTGAATAACATCTGGATATATCCAGATGTTTTACTGGCGTTACCATTTTTTCCAAAAAACAGCTGGCTGTAATTTCCCTTGTTGCACGATCTCATCTGGTTGTACCCTCTTGTTCTTAATGTCAAACATGAATAAAGCCTGTTCTTTCATCTGTTTGGTGTTTCATTTAGGAGTACTTCTACCCCAAATATGTTGGTAAGTTTGCAGGTTTTAGTTATGCTTGTTCTTATGTTGTAGTATTACTTTTCTTTTTCTAACTTTTCTGTTGTTGCAGCATGTCTGGGTTCACACCGTGTGGGCATACCAAGTCAGAACTCAGATTCTGCCATCCCATCAGACCTGCGCACATGTGTGAAAGGTGAGGGGGCTTTTTGGTGAAAAAAAAGTCTGCAATTTATGTACTTTTTTTTAAAGGTGTATAAAGGTTAGCTACTCATGTTTGTTATGCTTTAATCCATTGATTGATTTCCAGATTCTATCAATTGATGTTGTGTGTGTGTGTATGTGCAGAAATTAGTAACCAGTGCACGCCGTATCCATGCTATAAGGAGGGCTCAGAGCGCTGCGTGGATGGTCAGGCCTCCTTCACATGTGTGTGTAAGCCTGGCTGGAAAGGGCCACGCTGTGAAGATGGTGAGTTCTGACACGTCAAGTGGGAAATGTTAAAAGTGAAATCAAAAAAGGTACTCTCACACATCAACTGGGATTCAAAATTAATTAAAAAAGGTTAAAACATAATGGCTTATGCCTTACATCCTGTATACATTTTGATTTTTTTTTAAATTAATTCAACCAAACAACTAATAAATGTAACCCTCTTATATGGCTGACCTGCCTGCTGATATGTTTTCATTTCTGGGCAGACATCGACGAGTGTTCAGATCCTGAATTTCCAGCCGGATGTAACCAAAAGTGTAAAAATTTCCCCGGCAGTTTCCACTGTATGTGTGAAGAGGGCTACTACATCACTGACAAGATCAACTGTGTGGGTAAGACTCTGATGAACTGTGTGGGTAAGACTCTGATGAACTGTGTGGGTAAGACTCTGATGTTATTGTTAAAGGCTTCACAGTCTTTACTGCTTCATATAATTGAACTTTCAGTGCATTTGAGTACCACTGAAAGACAGAAAGGGACGGTTATATCTTCTCTCTTGGTGTGCATGTGAAGTAATGGCTAACATCCCACATTATGTGAAGACATCATGTCCCAATAGAAAAGGGCCAAGGCAGCTGAGTAAACACATTTCTATACAGTGCATTATTCTTTGTTGTAGCTTCCTTTATATTTATCCATATGGACGAAAGGAACCCCATGCACTTTAAAACCCAGCTGGTGTCCTCAGGGGCTGAAGCATTTGTTATTTCTAAAGCTGACCTGAGGTGAACTCGTGTGAAACAGAATGTGAAAAGATTTTACTGCATGAAAAGACCGTCCATCTCTTTATGCTGTTGACAGACCACCAGTCTCGTGTCTCTCATATGACAGTGCTGATTGAACCTGCTCATAGCGAGTAGATGCTTGGATCTGTCAGATTCTGTGTGGGCAGTTCTATCAGTGTTTATCTACAAGTTTGTTGAGGACAAAGTCTTGACAAACATCAGAATGAGTCAGCACAGTCCATTTGCTCATCCTTTTTGAAATGTTCTTTGGCAGCGATAGAGCTCTTTAAAGGGACCCAGATCTCGTGACTTGACCCCTTTATTCCCCTTTTAATCATTTTAATTGCATTTTCAGTTTTACCCTATGTAGTTGAAATTCCTTTGTTGTTTCATTATTGAGGACCGACACAGCTCATATCAATAATCTCACTAGACAATTGAACCTTTTCCAACTTCCATTGACTGTTTTTTTTTTTCAGATATCAATGAATGCCTCTTGTACTCGAGTATCTGTGCACAACCTGCTAAATGCGTCAACACACCGGGCATGTATGAGTGCCGGTGTCCCTCAGGGTTCAAATATAACTTCACTTCCAAGACCTGCAACGGTGAGACTTCTGATTGATGGAAAACATGTTATAATAATTATATCACTCACTTAGACGATGTATCTTGACTGACTGCATCAATATGTTTTCCCTGTTGTTGCAGATGTAGACGAGTGCGAGGTTAATGTGTGCGATGGGACATGCTTCAACACCGTGGGCAGCTATGCGTGCCACTGCGATGGTCGCGTAGGTCTGCGTTTGGGAGAGGATAAGCGATACTGTGAAAATATCCCTGTGTGTGTGGAGTTGTACGACTACAAACACCCTGAGATGCTCTACCTGGGGGAACAGTTCGCTGGCCTTCCTGTCATCTATCTGCGCTTCCGTCTACCAGAGAACACAAAGTGAGAGTCTGTCACACGCACACACGTGTTGTATCCCATCTTACACAGATACAACGTGCACTGCATTATACCGTCACAAGAAAAAATCAAATAAAAAGTCATTCTTGACCTTTAAAACATTAGTTTAGAATAAAGGGGAAATAAATGAAAATCTTACTGCAGCTTCTTCTTTCTCTTTCAAAAATGATTTACTCTCAGCGATTGTCGCAAAACCACTGAACATACATTTTCACATTGACAAACTCAGTCATGTTTTTCACTTCTGTCTGCAAGTTCTCAACTTATAGAATCAAACGCATCCATAAATGAAGAAGTGGTACAATCCATGTTAGTGACTGTAAGTCGATGAGAAGTCTGTGAGTTATGTTTTGTTTTTCGCTAAACATACAGACAACGCAGTAGAGTTCTGCAGAAAAATGTCCTTGAACAAAGAAATGAGTCAGCACTTTGCCTGTCTGATTTCATCCATTAAAATCTAGTTCCTTTTTTTTGACCGGGTAAAAGGTCAGTTCTCGTAATGAGATCTCTGCTTCGAACAAACTTATGAGATTTTAATGTTTTGTGGTACAATCTTAATTAAAGCTTTAGTTTGCATTCATTTCTCAAAAATCTTTAAAAGTGTTCTTTGTACGTGATGATAATCATTCTGAACAGAAATGTGTTCAAGTATTGGACTTTTGTTGCCTACAGTTCTTAATGTCAGCAAAAATCCAACAGTTTTATTAATCCTATTGCATTTAGTGAGGTACAAATAGAGATGATGATATTATGTTGTCAATGCAGCGCATAACATTTAATATTCAACAGCTGTCATTTTGTTTCTGGCTCTCAGGTTTGCAGCAGAGTTTGACTTTCGCACGTTCGACCCAGAGGGAGTTATCTTGTACGCAGAGTCATCCCAGGACTCGTGGTTCATGCTTGGACTGAGAGGAGGTCGAATTGAAGTCCAGTTCAAAAACCAGCACACATTCAAAGTGACCAGCGGAGGGAAATTCATCAATGATGGACAGTGGCATGTGGTAAGAAGAAGCATGAGTCCAATATTTTCCTACAGACACACACACACACACAGCTTGTTTATCTATAACTAACTGGAAAGCTAATCGATAAACTGGACTGATGGAGCGTGGATTGTGTTGTGATGATGACTGTCTCTAATGTTGAGTTACACTAAGGTTAATACTGTTTGTGTGACATGCATTCAGATCTCTGTGGATGAACTGGAGAGCAGCATCAGCGTGAAGATCAGCAAGGAAGCCGTGATGAGCATCAACAGCCCTGAGAGTCTCTTTACTTCAGTGAATGGCAAACTAGAAACCAAGGTGTACATCGCTGGTCTGCCAAACCGCACAGATAACCTCGTCAAACCTGTAAGCATGCACACTCAAGTAATCCAATCAAACAAGGATTTTCTGTCCCTGTGACCACATGGAGCAGATGAATGAGAATCATAAAATGAACATTACAAGTTAAACTGATAAATAGGGGTTAGCATTGGACCAGCTCCAATCCAGTGTTTTGTCTCCATCCATTCATTAGATCAACCCCCGCCTCGATGGCTGCATCCGGGGCTGGAACTTAATGAACCAGGGGGCATCTGGGGTAAAAGAGGTCATCCAGGAGAGGAAGAGTAAACACTGCTTTGTGTATGTGGAGCGAGGCTCTTTCTTTTCTGGGGAAGGACTGGCACAGTTCAACAATGACTACAGTGAGTAAGTTATACTTAATACATACGTACGGGGAAACATCGCTTCTGCATTAAATTCCTCCCTCATTTTATGAGCATTGAGCAGCTATAGTAACAGTGCTGCGAGACCAAATGCAGTTCTGAGCATGTTTTAAATGCAGCAGCAGGCTTTTACTGCATTGCTGTTATCACCTAGAGGATACACATGGAAAAAAAAGGAATGTCAAATTCCAAAAAGGAAGGCCCCAGTTGGCTCTGGTGGGTTTTCAATAGAGAACTATTTTATGTTTTACTGAAGACCAGCACAAGTGCAGTATAAAGGAATGTTTCTTTGGAAGTCATTTAAGGCAAAATTCAAGGATATTTGCAAGAGTTGAGTACACCTAAAGCCACCTCCATTTAGGTTTACATTTGAAATATGGCAAAGACCTTCTGTATGTATTTGTGTTCGTGTATTTGTTTTGTAATCAGGGGATTCTGGGAGCTGGAATGTGGATGTAAAGATGAACATACGCCCATCCAGCAGCACAGGCGTCCTCTTCGCTCTGGTCCAAAACAACACAGTCCCCCTGTCTGTGGCTGTCGTAACGCAGGGAGAAGAAGAAGCTGTACGTTTTTTCACGTTGCATGTCTTTACTGTACACACATTTAAGCACAAACATGCACAATTAAAGGATGTGATGTTGTTGACGTCTCTGCTCCAGAACCTGCAAGTGTTCCTAGATGGCGAACTGGTTGCCACATTGGACTCATTCATGCTGTGTTACCCTGATCGGCTGACAGTGCAGCTGAATGTGACTCCGACAGAAATCCAGCTCTTGGCCAACTCGTCCCGCATCGCCTTCGTGATGCCTGAGAGCCTGCAGATGGCGCTGGAGCGTCTCAACAGCACCATGCAGAACCCAATCAGTACATATATAGGAGGAGTACCAGGTCAGTAACCGCAGCATGATGACTTCAAGATGATTTATCTCATTTCAACACGATCACCAAACAGTCATGATCTAGCTGGCAGGGTTTCAATGCTGAATGATGATTAGAAGCTCCAACCAAATAAAAATGGAATATCCTCTTCATTGTAGTGAAACTTTTACCCAAGTACAATATTGTATTACAAATAGTAGTTTTTTTTGGAGGGGGTTTAGCCTTTATTTGAAAAGTGGTTAAAATAGGACATCAGGAACAGAGCATTGGGAATGACATGCACAAAAATAGCCACAGGTCGCACTCAAACCCGGTCCTCCTGCTTGGAGGACTAGTTCCAAAGAAAGTCAAACCCCGGGCTGCTTCATCGTGGACTCAGCCCGTGTAAATTGGGCACCTACTCTACCAACTGATCTAAACCAGTGACCCTACAATTTATATTTTTGACCAGATGATGGCGCTAGATGAAAGCTTGAGGGCTTGACAATTCATCCTATGGATTCATCCTACACAGATTCTAAACTCAATTTCAGGCAATCCATACAAAAGTTGGAGAAATACTTCCCCAAAAGCCTATAGACAACATCTCGCTGTGATCGTAAACTTCACAAAAGTCTTGAACTTTTGTGTTCTACTTATGTTTCAAATGTAAGTGTGTTTTCTTTGTGTTGCCTCTAGTAGCCTTGGTATTACAAATGCTAAAGTAACCATAATCTCTCTCTCTTTCTCTCTCTGGCTCACTCTACAGACAATGTCCCGTTACCTGCCACCCCTGTGTCAGCGTTTTACCACGGCTGCATGGACATCACTATCAGCGGCAAGCAGCTGGACTTCGACGAGGCTCTCAGCAAACATAACAGCATTAAGTCCCATTCCTGTCCTCCTGTTTCTGCTCCTGAGAGCAACCCTGAGGCTGCAAATCCTCACAGAAAGTGACCCTAATTAACAAGCTATCAAAAAAAAAAAAAAAAAAAAAAAAAAAAAAAAGACGTCACAGGAGGCAGCATCCCACAGCGGCCACTTCTTAGATAATTTTGGAAAGAGAGATATAGAGGTTGCGAGAAGACAAGAAGCAGGATGGGGATGAGAGGGAAGTGACAAGAAGAAGTGATAGAGCTAGATTGTTACAGTCGTTTTTGTCGACTCTCTGTGATGGTTCAATTTCTGTTTATCTTTTTATCCATACAGTATTATTGTTCCTGTCCTGGGAGCAGGTTTTTTTCTTTCATTAGTGAAGCACAACGAAAGCTGACTTGCCAGTGAGCTAGTCAAAAAGCTGAATGGTTCAATGACGTAGTTGTAGCACTTTGTTGCAGTGAAACAATTGCTTTGTAGGAAACTCTTAAAAGGAGCTGAGCTCTGTAGCACACATTCCCTGTTTTGGGTGAGAGATGATTTTATTTGTGTAGAAAAAAGTAAACAAATGGTCACTGTTGACCAGGCTCTGGGACCACCTGCATCTTTATGACTGTTGCTGAATCGTGGGACTATCTCTAAATCCTGTTTGCTGTGGTTGTTGGTTGATTGGCAAGAAAGCTAAGGCGCAGGATCCAGATCTGTTTATTTTATTGTTTGTAACTTGATATATTATTCAAGGTCAGTCTGCCTCGGGTATCGCATCATCTAAGAAACATTTTAAAAACCTGGTGTATCGTTTTTTGGTCCTAGAACCCATTATTCTTGTCAACAGATGAATACACCTTGCATCAAACTTCAGTGTTTGTCCTCGTCAGCAAGGATCTTCTTCTTGTCCCATGTTCAGAATGCATCTTGTATATAAGCCATCTTTAATATATAACTTAAATGTAGTTGTTCACTGTTGTCTTTGTTCTATGTTTGTTTTAATAAAAATTGTCAAAGCATCCTTAATGGATAGGGTTACATGTCATCATTAATCTGCCAACATTTCTCCCTTGAGGTATTCAAAAATAAGGTTTCTGCTTGTTGCTGCTTGTGTCCTAAGACCTTGATCATACAACAATCAGGCTAAGCAAAAATGTACAAAACAATAGGTGTGTTTGCCTCTAATATCACGGTATTTCTCAGTCATTTAGAGGTTTTAGTAGCAATGGATAGCAGTGGGACACCACCATGTTCCAATATGTAAACATATTTTTCCAATATTTTTTAACTGTTAAGCATTTACAACATCTAATATTTAACGAGACAGACATGATTTAAACTTTCAGAATCTTTACAATATCTATTATCAATAATAATTCAAGATTCCCTAAATATTATCAGCTGGGCCTTCCATTTTGTCTCATAAACAAATAGAATATTTAAACATGTGATAAACTTTAGCCTACTGGCCTAGAAACTCAAAAGGGAATACAGAGGAAACACAAGTGGAACCCAAATAGCATTTGAAACTCTTAAAACAGATGTTAAGTCAAACAAGATCATGACAAACAAAACAGAAAGAAAAACTACTTGGAAGGAGATTTTGTAATTTCAGTAAGCTCTGATTTCACCACCAATGTTGAGTATGAAGCTCTGTTCCTAAGAATTTGTTTATCTGCAGTTTATGTCATTAACTGTAGCATGCTGCACTTTGAATCATCAAAGGCAGAACTTTATATTGACTATATAAAGCAGAACAGTCAGAATTGAAATACTTAATACCTCTACAAAAACTAATCTCAGAACTCAGAAATATGGTAATGCATTTTTTTTTAAACACATATAGAGTTGCTGTAAGGAACGTGTTTTGACTGAGACAGCCTACTGTTTTAGTCATTGGTACACTAAAAAATCATCATTATCACTATAATATTGTTGACAACTAAGAGCACAGGTAGGCCATTAAACATGTAACATTCCAAGTTTATTTTATAGCCTACACTAAATAGTATTTTTGTGGGTTACTGTGGGAAAGACAATAAATTCATGAATACATATAGGTCTATCTCAAAATTAGAGGAGTTACTCACACAAGTTTTTACACAAAGTTTGAGGTAGGCTTCTTGTACTTTACCTGAACATCGTCATTCTCTCACTACCTTACACTTCTATTCCAGTAGGCCTACATTCAAGATATAAATATTACGATTGTGAATGCAGGACATTTATGGAAGAGGATTAGGGCCACTGGTGGGAAAAAAAAAAGGAGTGGGTTCAGAACTGACTTTTTATTTAGAATTCTGAGAAATATTTTTTTTCCAGGGGCCCTAATCGTCTTCCGTAGAAAATAAACTTGAATCGGAGAGTTCAGGGTATTATTAGGCTACTTGTACCCTATACAGTATTGTACTCGGGGTAAAAGTAGTAGTTAGTTGGTTTACCACGCAGGCTGGAGAAAAATACCGCAAACAGTACTGTGATGAATAAAGCCCATTGCGTACTGAGCTTTAATTTAAGCTTTCACCCTCGGTGTGTTACTTGCTGCACGCACACACGCACGCACGCACGCACGCACACACACACACACACACACACACACACACACACACACACACACACACACACACACGCACACGCACATAAGAGGAGGGAAGGGATGAAGGAGAGGTGTCTGAGGACTGCATCGCTACAAACTCCTGCCTGCACTTTTCAGGGCTACTCCCCCTCCTGAAGCAGCTAAAGGCGTGAAGTCTTCCTCTCCGCAGAGTGGAGACTACAGTCCGGGACAGAGACACAAGCGAGAGGGGTCACAAATAAAGTGCACACCGCAATGGGGACGAGCTGAATCGCGGGAGAAAAAAAAACCAACAAAAACAAACAAAAAGGATAAGGAAAAAGCTTCATATGCCCGGAGTGGTGAACAAGACAGTTTAGGACACGACGGTGCACCGCAGTGATTTCAGATCAGCCTTTTCGGGAGTACCTGAGAAAATACCTGCAGTGTTTCGCTGTGTCGTTAGCCTCGACTTGGTGCAAGCAGCAAGTGACATTGAAGGATTTTTTTGGGGGGGGGAGACGGAGAGGGGGGTAAAAGGAGAAAGTTTCTGAAGCTTGGTGCAAGACACAGCGGTCAAACAATGCGGTTGACCCCGACAAAGTCCCTTTCATCAGCAGCAGCCCTGCTAATCCTGCTGGTGGTCCGCTGGTCCGACAGCAGTAAGTAAACACTTACCATGCTAGGTGGCTAGCTAGCTCGCTAAGTCCCCCTTTTTTTTTGACATTTGTGTTTAGGTTGGTTGATGATGCATGCCACAGCGTCATTCATGTTTCGCAACCGTGCTGAAATGTTTTTGTTTTCCAGGACCTCAGATGTTGCCTAACACTGAGTTTTGTTTGACCTTCCCTTGCTCTTGTGTGTTAATTCATGTATTTTTTTTGTTTATTTTTTTTGTTTGTTTATATTTTAGTTTCACTGTCTCCCCAAGAGGCACACCAGTTTCTGAGCAGACACCGGAGAGCAAATCAAGTTTTCGAGGAGACGAAGCAAGGGCACTTGGAGAGGGAGTGTGTTGAAGAAAAGTGCACCAAAGAGGAGGCCAGAGAAGTGTTCGAAAACGACCCGGAGACGGTGAGTATATTGGATGTTGTGGCACCAAATCAAACTAAAAGGTTGTGTGCAGGTTTCTCCATTTTTTATTTTTTTTTTAAACAACACTACGCCACCACACCTTCATCTGGCATCATCTACTTTAAGATACTGCAGTAGGCTACTACAAAGTTGGTGTAATGATCAAAATAATTCCACTTTACACTGAATTTTGTCAAAGCTGCAAGGTCCGTTGTTTACATCATGCTCATATTGACTGCAGATTGATGACTGTAATGTAACAGTAGACTAATGATTCACTGTCTGGCCTGCTGAGTATTCATGCTCCAATAAGTCCAGCGTGTTGATAGCTGTCGGTGACATTCAGCAATACTCTCATGTCAAAGACTTGGCTTGCTTAATTTTTTTTGTTTCTGAGATAGACTTGAGTCATCATGACTAAGCTTAAGTTAATGAAATTCACTTGAAGTAAAGACACTCTTCCTTTTTAATGAGACAAAATGTGCAAAGAGGTTGTGTTCCTTTTGGCTTCAATAGGTTCCAGCAGTTGTAGTTTTGTTCTGACAGCTGAACCGCTGCTTGACTTAGTTTTCCTTTCAAAGATATCGATATCTTCTCTCCATCTCTATATTGGACACCCGTATTGCTGTAAGTGTGTACTCTTATACGTGTGATCTGATTGGACTCTTTGGGAGGTCATTTGCAGTTTCCCGTTAAGAGAATGAACATGTGGTAAGTTACATGTTTCCTTAAACGCAGCAGTGCACATAACGTCACTAATCTGCATTCATGCTCCCGCCTACCTTTTTTTTTATTTGGTGATTACCAACAAACAAACTGAAACACTTTGTGTGTGTGTGTGTCTGCTTGGGAATATTTAGCGCTTATGCAGTCTGCATTTATGAACGTGCAGATTAACCTTTGCATCCATGTCAATACATAAGCCTATTGCAAACGCACTACATGTGCTGAGTATGCAAAAAAAAAACTGAGAGGTGTAAATAATGTAATGTGTCAGAAAACGTGCAACATGTGGTCAAGAGTGTATTCATTCATTGCCTGAGAGTGCAGACTTGTAAGTCTGTCAGTAGACTTGTATGTGGAGACTGTTGAGTCTTGCTCGGCACCTTTTTTTAAGAAGTTAGCTGGCTAGATATATCAGCAACAAGTGCACCCTGACATTGTACGTTTTTATTTTCCATATAGTCATTTATGCCGCTTTATTTAAAATGACATTTGAATCAATCAACCAATTAATTGTGTTTGTTGTCAATTTTTCTGTAATTTTCTCTTTGGCAATTTCTGTCACTCTAGAAGCTGTAGTGTTTTAAATCGTTGTAGAGACGGAGTGGATGAGGCAGTCAATGACTCAGTGATTACTTGTAAGATTAGCCAAATGAAGAGACATCATGACAGCTGTGGGAGGGAGGATTAAGTGAAGTTGAGCTGGGTTCAGACTTCAGAGGAAAAAGGTGGTGTCAGGTGATGTCCCCTTCCAGTTGGGTTTGAATCAGCTGGATGCACACCACAAGCAGCGTTGAGTTTGTGAGGCTGTATATATTTTTATTTCATGCCGTGCCACAAAGCTGCAGTCTCATTCATGGCTGCATTATTCATTCTAAAAGGGCTCGTCTCTGACTCTGCATTTCCTCCTGCTGCGGCTTCCTGGCTCTGCAGAGAGAGGAAGAGTGGGGTGTCCCTGGATACTTGTGATAATCCTCTGAAACGCACGCAATCACACAAACTTTTGGGTCACACTCACTTGTTAGGTAACCTCTCAAGTGAGGCAGATAGCTGATAAAACTGTTTCATAGCTGGCTGTTAAGTCAAGGCTATGTTGCTCAATAGCCCCAAACTAGTTATTTCAGCTCATCCTGCTGCTTGTGGCTTCTACTGCATTGTCTGTGCCTCAGGAGCCAAAACTCCCCAAATTTTGACCCAAATGTAGACGATTACTGCTGCTGTTTTGGTGGGAGGGATGCTACTACTACCAGGAATGCAGAGAATTCCCAGGAAGCCTTTGGCAAAGGGGCGACACCCATTACAGAAAACACAAACACAGAGATTAGAGTAATCATATTGTAATCTCTCTCTGGGCACTAGTTTACACACACACATTAAACGTCCAAGGCAAAATTAATGATTGTTTGAGTTGTATTTAACTCCCTTATCTATAAAATAAAAGCATATCCTTGATTTTGTCAAGTATTAATGGAACCATTGATATATATATATATGTATATTTATTTAAATGATCTTGCTCTGTTTGGATGACTGTTTAACTTTATCCCTGTCTGTTTTCATCTATCTCCCTCATTTAGGACTACTTCTATCCCAAGTATTTAGGTAAGTTATCATTTCTGTCTTAAACTCTTCATCTGTACTCAAAACAGCCAGACGACAGATTACATTTTTACAT